GACGGCATGTGGATCTACAGGGTGAAGCGGCCACCGGGATCTCCTCCGGTCTTCAAGGCGCGCTACGTGGCTAGAGGTTTCAGTCAGCGCGAGGGAGTTGACTTCTTTCAGACCTTCGCGCCCACCCCGAAGATGACCACTCTTCGGGTGTTACTACACGTAGCAGCACAGAGAGACTACGAGTTACACTCTCTCGACTTCTCTACTGCTTTCCTTCAGGGCAGTCTTCACGAGGAGGTCTGGTTGCGTCGTCCCTCTGCCTTCACTGGCTCTTTCCCTCCTGGGACCCAGTGGAGGCTGAGGCGACCGGTTTACGGACTTCGTCAGGCTCCTCGTGAGTGGCACGACACCCTGCGTTCTACCCTGTCTGACCTTGGGTTCCAGCCGTCTTCTGCTGACCCGTCGCTGTTCGTTCGTCGTGGCCCCACACCTTTCTTTGTTCTGGTCTACGTTGACGACCTTGTTTTCGCCACCCCTGACAGGGTTGCTTTGGCACACGTGAAGTCCGAACTGCAGAAGAGACACACCTGCACTGATCTTGGTGAGCTGCGCCACTACCTTGGCCTGCAGATCACCAGGGACAGAGCTGCTCGCACCATTACACTTTCACAGTCGCACATGGTGCAGCAGGTCCTTCAGCGGTTCGGGCTTCAGCACTCCACAGTACAGCGCACACCTCTTGCTGTTGACCACAGACTCACTGGACCCTTTCCTGACGAGCCGTTCGAGCCTAGTGGTCCCTACGCAGAGCTTGTGGGTTGCCTCATGTACCTGATGACTTGTACTCGCCCGGACCTCGCCTTCCCTCTCAGCGTTCTTGCGCGCTTTGTTGCGCCAGGGAGACACCGTCCTGTTCACTGGACAGCAGTTGTGAGGGTGGCGAAGTACCTAGCGACGACGTCAGGCGTGGGGCTAGTTCTTGGAGGGCAGCAGTCTGTCGTACTTACTGGTCACTGTGACTCCTCTTACGCTGACGACGCTGAGACTCACAGGTCTACTCAGGGGTACTGTTTCAGCCTGGGTTCTGGAGCTGTTTCCTGGCGGTCCACGCGCTCCTCTTCGGTCTCGACCTCTACAGCTGAGGCTGAGATCTACGCTGGTGCCATGGCGGCACAGGAGCTGCGTTGGTTGACCTTCTTGCTCACCGACCTTGGTGAGCGGCCGAGCTCTGCACCGACCTTGTTCACTGACAACAAGGCGTCTATTCTCCTTTGTCGAGAGCCACGACTGGAGAGCAGAGTGAAGCACATTCACGTCAGGTACTTTCTTCTGCGAGAGTTGCAGAGGCGTGGACAGGCTCGCTTTGAGTTTGTGGAGTCCGAGGCCAACACTGCAGACATCTTCACCAAGGCGCTTCCGCCTTGTGACCACCAGAGGTGCTGTGTGCAGTTAGGCCTTGTTGACACTGGTTCTCGTGTTGCTTAGACTTGAGTGTACTGTTTACTTTGCTTTCTATATACCTCTGTTACTTCTTGGACTGGCCTTGTGGCCACTGTTGTTTGTGCTCAGACTGTGTGGTGACGTTGTGATCCACCCTGAGCTTCGTTTCTTGGACTGGTCTTGTGACCGTACTCGTTTGGTTCTGCTAGACACCCCTCACTTAGGCTATGGGGGTGTGTCAAATGTTGTAGCCTATAGTGAGGTTTGTCTTAGGGGGTACAAAACTTAGGGTTAGCTATATGTACCCCAACCAACATCAATGCATCATCCATTCTTCATTCTGACAAATTGCTCCCTTTGTACTGAGATGTGGCGTGAAGTGAGGTGTTACATGAATAGCATTCAGAGCACCATTACGAGTATGTGCACTCTCTTTGATTACTCGCAACCAGAGAAAAATACTGAATAAACAAATCCCGTACATCACACATTTCTATCATCCAAGAAAAAACTGCAAAATGTTGGCATAACAACTAATACATATCTAAAATTTATTACACTGCTACATGGCACAGTAGTCTCTGCTCTCTCTATGCCTTCGATTTCACACTGCGAGGAAAGACATGGACTCGGCTCAACACGTCCCAGAACGATACGGGAAAGGAATGAAGGAGAAGGTGTGGACTCCCCTCCACGCTCAACATTCTAAAGGCGCTGCCACTGCCGCCGCAGCTGCTGCCGCTTTCACCATCGCCGCTGCTGCTGCCGCTGCCACCGCTGCCGCTGTTGCTGCTGCTGCCGCCGCTGCTGTTAGTGCTCCCACTGTTACAGCTACCACTGGAGCTGCTGCCGTTGCCACAGCTGCTGTTGTTTGAGTTGCCGCTGCTGCTAGTGCTGCTTGCTCCATTCCTGTGCCTCGCACCTCTGGCACAAGTGCTGCTGCTTCTGAATCCGTTGCACGAGGACGCAGCACTTGTGTCGCTCTCTGGAATTGTTGCTCCTCCACTCCCGTCACGGATACTGCTGGTACTGTTGCTGGTGCTGTTGCTGGTGCTGTTGCTGGTGCTGCTGCTGGTGCTGTTGCTGGTACCGCCACAGCCATTTTTAGCAGGCCCACGCCCACTGCTACACCAGTCTTCACTACCACATAATGCCCCACCCCTCTCTCTCTCACCACCTCCTGATGCCAGCTCAGCTTCCTCCCTCCCTTCCTGTCTCTCACTGTCTCTCAACTCACACCCCCGATCGATTTTTGATTGCTCTCGAGCCATCCCCCAATCCACCCCATGGTTTCGTCTCCCTCCTTTATCCACCCCTCCCGCTCGTGTCCTCCCCCCCACTGCTCCTCTACCTTCTGTTACCCCTCCACCCACTCTCCTTCCTGCTCCTCCTCCTACAAACTCCAGCCACACTCCACCGGGAACCTGATCGGGCCGATAAAGCCTCACAAGCAGCAGGTAGACCGGGAAGGACAGCAGCAGGGAGGCAGCGGCTTGCAGGGCGGAACGGACGGCCGAGATCGCAAGACAGAGGGAGGCGAAGAGGATGTGAAAGATGGCGGTGGTGGGGAGGAGGAGGGTGAGGATGGTGAAGAGGAGCGAACCGAGAGTAAGCTGGCCCAGTGTGCACTCCACTGAGTCTATGCGCTTGTGTAGAGGGTTCCATTTGAGCCCACTGGGGGAGGGGAAGGGAAGGAGGGGGAGGGCGGAGGGAGACGTAGGGAGAGGGTGAGTTGACCACTGAGACTACGAGTTGACCACTGAGACTACGTGCCTGTGCAGGGGGGTTCCACTTGAGCGCACTGGGGAGGGGGAGCGAGGAGGGGGAAAGGGGGAGGATGGGGAACGTGGAAAGGGGTAACGGGAAGAGGGTGAGGGTGAGCTGGCCCAGTGTGCACTCCACTTGAGCAGTGTGCCAGCGTGCCAGTGGCCCAGTGTGCCAGTGTGCGCTTGTGCAGGGGGTCCCACTTGAGCCCACTGGTGGTGCGGGGAAGTGAAGAGGGAGGGGAAAGGGAAGGGATGGGAAGGTAAATGGGGGTGAGGGTGCGTTGGCCCAGGGTGCACTCCACTGAGTCTATGCGCTTGTGCAGGGGGTTCCACTTGAGCCCACTGGGGGAGGGGAAGGGAAGGAGGGGGAGGGCGGAGGGAGACGTAGGGAGAGGGTGAGTTGACCACTGAGACTACGAGTTGACCACTGAGACTACGTGCCTGTGCAGGGGGGTTCCACTTGAGCGCACTGGGGAGGGGGAGCGAGGAGGGGGAAAGGGGGAGGATGGGGAACGTGGAAAGGGGTAACGGGAAGAGGGTGAGGGTGAGCTGGCCCAGTGTGCACTCCACTTGAGCAGTGTGCCAGCGTGCCAGTGGCCCAGTGTGCCAGTGTGCGCTTGTGCAGGGGGTCCCACTTGAGCCCACTGGTGGTGCGGGGAAGTGAAGAGGGAGGGGAAAGGGAAGGGATGGGAAGGTAAATGGGGGTGAGGGTGCGTTGGCCCAGGGTGCACTCCACTGAGTCTATGCGCTTGTGCAGGGGGTTCCACTTGAGCCCACTGGGGGAGGGGAAGGGAAGGAGGGGGAGGGCAGAGGGAGACGTAGGGAGAGGGTGAGTTGACCACTGAGACTACGAGTTGACCACTGAGACTACGAGTTGACCACTGAGACTACGAGTTGACCACTGAGACTACGAGTTGACCACTGAGACTACGAGTTGACCACTGAGACTACGAGTTGACCACTGAGACTACGAGTTGACCACTGAGACTACGAGTTGACCACTGAGACTACGAGTTGACCACTGAGACTACGTGCCTGTGGAGGGGGGTTCCACTTGAGCCCACTGGGGGAGGGGGGGAAGGAGGTGCTGAGGGGGGGGGGATTGTTGGGGGAAGGTAGGAGAGTGACTGGTAGTTGAAAGGAGGGCGGTTGATGGGGGAAAGAAATTGCAACAGAGTTTGTGCAGATTTCCGAGGTGGATCTGAAATCGACCGAGTTTGTGCAGCATTCTACTGAGGAAGCAGCCGGGATGGGGGGTGAGGTGGTTTGTGAGGAAGGGAAGGAGAGGAATAAAAAGCGAGCAGCTCGGCGTGGGGGAGAGGAAGGGAAAGAGGTACCGACATGTCAAAGGCCGTAGTTTGTTTGACATAGCATGGAAAAGGCCTAAACGGACGTATTTTGTTTTACATAGCATGGAAAAAGCCTAAACAGACTCACTTGAAGAGGCGCCAGAGGGCAATGACAGCGTTGAGCTGCTTGCATGCGATACATGGGGGGCAAGCATCATCAGACAAACCTCACTCACGTAAGTTCCCAGTCCTCCCTTGCCCCCCTCTTCCCCCAGAATTTTACTGTCCCGCAAAGGCCTAAAGAGACTCACTTGAAGAGGCGCCAGAGGGCAATGACAGCGTTGAGCTGCATGCGATACATGGGCGCCAAGCACCACGAGGCAAAGCCCAACCAAGTCCCACCCTCCTCCCCCCACTCCCATATATATTGCCAGGACATTGAAGACTCACTTGAAGAGGCGCCAGAGGTGACTTTTGAGTCGACTCAAAAAGTGTCGTGTGCCATTGTAACGAGGTGACTTTTGAGTCGACTCAATAGTCACCTTATTGCCAGGACATTGAAGACTCACTTGAAGAGGCGCCAGAGGGCAATGACAGCATTGAGCTGCATGCGATACATGGGTGCCAAGCACCAATGAACGAGCGCCAGCTGGAGGTTCGACAGCAGCACCAGGTCAGCAATAACCCCCACCGCAGCGGACATTCCCAGGAACAGCCCCGCCGAACCAACCACAAGCACCGCTAGGTACGGCAGAACCGAGCCATATGCGTTGCCGAAGCTAGCCCAAGCCTGCAGCGCCTGCCAGGACAGGGCGCCGAACGCGGCTGTGAGCTCGTCGTTGAGTTTCAGTCCGATGGGCTGGGAGATTAATAGCACTATGCTGGTCCGGAGCACGTGATTGGTCAGAAGTTGGAAGAGGGAGGAGAGGGCGGATGCTACTGATTGGAAGAAGAAGAGGAGGAGGAGGGAGAAGAGGAGGCCAAGGGTATGGTCCAGCAGGAGAGAGGTGAGAGGGGATGCAATGCGGTGCTGCGCAGTGTGGAGGTCCATGGCAGAATAGAGCGGAAGTTTGGGTTTTCCGGATGCGTTTCGGGCCAGGTCGGGGGTCTTGGGAGGAAAGTGAGCCACTTTTGCAGGGTATGTTCCTGTGGGAAAGCAAGGGTGGTGATTGAGAGCAGCTGGCTGATACGTTTCAGGAGGGTCTGAGGCTGAGGATAGGGAAGCCTTTAAGGATGCGCCTTTCACAGGCTGAGCGGGCGGGTCAGGGGGATCACTACAAGTAGCTGTGGCAGTGGCAGCAGCATTACCATGCACTTCAGCAAGAACGCCCTCATTTGAAAAGAAGGACGCTGATTGGAGGGCAGCACGGAGGGACGCGATCAGCCGCTGCCTGCGAATCATGCACTGCCACGTGGCAGAGTTGCTCTTCAGAGCAGCAGTCGCCGCCCGGCCAGTGGAAGTAACCAGAGAGATGGTAACCACCCCGGCTTCCTGCAACAGCAGCAGCAGCGCCACCGGTGCAGCTGCAATCTGGTTCGCTACAGCCAAACTCAGCCGCCCAACGTGCCCCACAGAATCCAACGCTGCAGAATCCTCGCCCTCCTCTACAATCTCCCCCTCTAAAATCACCTCCTGCTTCATATCCCCGCCCTTCAACCCCAACACCGCCCCCAATATAGCAGCCCTCTCTTTCGCAGCCTCAGCAGTCGCTACAGCTGCATCTGCCCCTCCCAAACCCTCCACTGCCTTACCCTGCTTCGCACTCTCCTGCAAAGTCGTCCCCAGAAGCTTCTGATGCAGTGAATCTGGACCAGTTGCATCCTGCCCCGGTTCTGCCTTCCCCTGGACCAACCCTCCCTGAATCACCTCCCCCTGTGAAGCCCCTGGTTGGGCTGCTGCCTTTCCGGAGTTGTCTTGCGTGCTTTTCACTGCAGATGCGTCTGCTGAGTTGACGTGAATAGACGAGTTGACATGGATAAGGTTGGGGAGTCCCTCTGCATCTGAAGGGACTGTGTTTGCACAGAGGTCAGCGTCCTTGCTGGGCTTGGGTGTTGCTTTCCCAAGGAAGAACATGCGCTGGGAGGGAACGGGAGGAGGGAGAGAGGGACGGAGAGAGTGAGAGAGGAAGGGAGAGGGACACAGAGCGGCAACACAAGGAACAAAATTCTAACTCCATAACGGCACTTCACTCACCGCAAGAGCAGTGAAAATGACAGCAGGCGACCCCTTAAGAGCAGCACAAAAAAACACCCCTCGGCACCACTAAAAACTCGTAGTCTTCCCAACCCCATAACCCACGCTCCACTCACCGCAAGAGCGGTAGAGATGACAGCAGGCGAGCCCCTAATAGCGCCAGAAATCGACCCCTCAGCAGCAGCCGCCACCACACTTAAAGCTGTAACAGCCGTCCCACTTGGAGACGTCTCACAACCTTCCCCACATGCTCCCATTTCCCACAACCACTCACCGCAAGGGCAGTCGAAATGACAGCAGGCGAACCCCTGATAGCGCCCGGAATCGACCCTCCAGCAGCCGCCGCCGCACTTGCAGCTGTAGCAGCTGTCGCTGCCGTTGCAGCAGCCGCTGCTGACGCTGCAGTCGCTGCCGTCGCGGCTGTAGCAGCAGCCGTCGCGGCTGTAGCGGCAGCAGCGGCTGTAGCAGCCGTTGCTGCAGTGGCAGCCGTGGCGGCTGTAGCAGCTGCAGCTGCACTGGCAGCAGTGGCTGCAGTGGCAGCCGTCGCAGCTGTGGCAGCAGCAGCAGCATTCGCGGCTGTAGCGGCTGTAGCAGCGGCAGCAGAGGCTGTGGCAGTAGCTCCGCGTCTGCAGCTATCTAGAGTGCGAGAGGTTGTTGTGCTGATGGTGCTGGTGGCAGTGGTGATAGACGTTCCTATAGAGGTGGTGGCAGATCCGAGGGTGTTTGAAGCGGTTGCAAGGGATGTAGAGGCAGTGGCGAGGGCGTGAGCCATGTTGAGCTTGTGGAAGGGAACGCTCTGTGGGAGGGCAAGGGAAGCAGAAGTACATACAGGTGCACATTTGGTGCCTTAACGTCCGCAACCCTGCAACCCTACAAATTAATTTCTCGCCATTCCACACACTACCACCACTCATGCCTCACCACTCCGCAATCTTAACGCTGACGCTCCACCGCTCTGCACCCTCACAACAACCAGCCCTGCCACTCCATGTATGCGCGAGACTTGGCTCTCTGCGCCCTGGGAGAGTCGATGTGCCCCGGTGGCGACCACCCGCCCGCCCCACCCCACCACCCATCATGCCTCACCACCGCTTTGCAGTCCTACAGACTGACGATCCACCGCTCTGCACTCACATATCCGCGAGTCTTGGCTCTCTGCGACCTGGGAGGTTCGATGTGCCCCGATGACCCAAAAGGATCACAGCCACACGCCCACCCACCCCGCCTGCCCCACCACCGCTCATGCCTCACCACCACTGTACAATCCTACAAAATGACGCTCCATCACACTGCAACCCCCTAATAACCAGCCCCACCACTCACGTATCCGCGCGACTTGGCTCTCTGCGTCCTGGGGGGTTCGATGTGGCCCGAAGTGGCCCAGAACGATCGCAGCCACACGCCCACCCGCCCCGCATCGCTCGGCGAAGTGGTAACCGCACCATTCGCTGCATTCGCCGCGTTCGCTGCCGACTTCTCCGATCCCTTGCCACCCGGACCTCCTAGGCCTTCCTCGTCTAGCCCTTCCGACCCATCTGAACCGTCCTCTACTCCTCCGCGCACCACGCTCATCCACCTGCGGCAATCCGCCACGTAGAAATGGCCGGGGAAGGTCGGCTGATCGTAAAAAACGACCTGCAGAAGGGAGTGGGACAGAGAGGATAACCGAAGATGTGGGTGGTTCGTCGTGAGAATCGGAAACGACAATGGCCGGGGAAGGTCGGATGGTCTACCCGAATACACTACGTGCCCCTGAGCGGAAACGCGCGCAACTGAGCAGCGCGCACCTGAGCGAAGATTGCGCATCTGAGCTGCAGCGCCCTAAGCGGGACACTGCGCGCACCTGAACGGCCCACTGCGCGCACCTGAGCGGGCCACTGCGCGCAACTGAGCGGACACTGTATGTACCTAAGCGGGCCACTGTGCGCACCAGAGCGGGACACTGCGCGCACCAGAGCAGGACATTGCGCGCACCTGAGCGGAAACCGGATGGCCGGCAGATGCCATGTCGGCCGGCCCCCCTGTGGCCGCTTGTGGTACCGGTTTCGATCCCTGATCCGACTGACCGGCTTCACTGGTTTCATTGACTGATTCCGCAGCTGCGCCAGCAGGTTTCTCGGAAGCAATGCCTGGAGTCCCGGTGCCGCTGCACACAGGAGGAGGAAAAGCATGCAGCATTAACAGTATGTTCTTTAAGACAGACATCCTGATGAAGGGGAAAATGCAGAGCGGAGAAGTGTATAAGGAGGATGAGAGGGCTGCATACCCCGGGAAGAAAGAGAGAAGGGATAAAGAGGGGGTAATTAGAAAGCTCGCAAGGCCAGGTTGAAACACGGTTAAGGCTCCCCTACTAACACAACGACAAACATACCTTGTACCACCAGGTTGCTTGGAAGCTTCGTCGTCCGTGCTGTTGCTGGACCCATCAACGTTCATACGCATTCCTATCAGCTCGACGTTTCGCCACCAGTCTAGTATCGCAGCTCCTTTACCGCGTACAGACGGAGCCGATCCCGATTCCTGCGACTCTCCTGGCGGCGACGTTGGCGACGCTGGCGATTGTCGCTGCTGCTGCCATCTTCGTCGCCACAACAAGGTAAACGGCACCTTCGACGAGAAACCCGCTCTGTTACCCTGACTATCTTGACTCGGATCTCGCACGCTCTCGTTTTTGTCGTTATTCAACGACTCAAAGTTCTCCGAACGATCGGAATCAGCAGAGAAACTCCAGGACGAGCGAGGCGACGAGCAGCTTGACGCTTTAGGCGAGCTTGCTCCGGAGGAAAAGCGGCTGAAGAAAGACGAGAAGGAGAGATTGGAATGTTCTGGAAGAACGGAGCATTCGGCGACGACACAGGCTCGGTCAGGCTCCTCGAAAGAATTAGCCTGATAGCAATCAACGGAAGAGATACTGTCTTTCTGAATATTTTCATAGCCATTTGTAGGCGAAGCAGCGGCTGAATGAGCGTTAAGGTTGTCATTAGGAGCTGTTACAGGAGGATTGCGACTATCTTGGGAAATGGGAAATGACTCCTTGTGACCGTTGCACGGGTCGATGTCTTTTTTTGCTTCGTCAATGCGACCCGAGCATGGGGGAGTCGCAGCGGCGACGATGACATTGACTTCGCGAGTTTCGCCAACGTCGGCTGACTCAATCCATCCTAGTAATCGCTGACGTTCGCCTTCCAAAGGTACCTGGACAGGCCACCAAACCGTAACCCTAACGAGCTCTGTGCTCCTCTTCTTATCAGTCTTACATTTATTATAGGCCTTAACCTGACCTGGCAGTACCTGCTCAGCCATTCTGAACGAACAGGACACGTCAGCAGCAGAACCACGCCAAGTAACACCACACTAATGAAAGAATAAGAGTTTAGGAAAACGCGATGAGGTCTGGGCCTAGGACTAAGATGGTGCTTGAGTTACAATCTGGTTTATAAGGCCCAATGACTACATGTCCCTTCAGGTGTCTGCGGCATGTTGAAGCACATCCCATCCCATCCCACTCCCAAGTATAACGTCGGAGCAACCTGCGGAGAAACAGTGCACAAACAGAAGCACGAGCAGGAAGAAAGCTGACGAGAAACAGAAGAGTAGGAGGGGGAGGGATGGTGGAGAGAAGGGACGAGCAGGCAGCCATTCTTGAGAATATTCATGAGGGTATGGAGCGGTTATAAAGTTTATGACTTCCCATAGGGTTTGATAACACGCCTAAAATCCCAAGGAAAGCGGCGCTATTGGCGAATCATTTTTAAAATCTCGATATAGACACAATGGTTCCCATTCATTCGCGGCTATTCTGATTGGGGGTTTGGTGCGCTGGTTCGGTTCCATCACCACTTCCGTCAAGCAGGTGGTAGCTCCGTTGCTGTGTGTCGCTGCAGGGTACCCTGTTGCTGGAAACCATATTTCGTCCCTGTCGTCACTACCCGACCGTTACTTCGGATTCTTCGCCAAGGCAGGACAACGCCTGACAACCAGCTTGAAGCCTTGGCGGGATCGATGTTGCCGCCAGGTTTGACGCATCTCGCACGTTCGGCTTGGCTGCAAGCACAAGCACGTCATCCTGGTGGATGCCTCAACTTCCAAGCAAGTTCTTCATCAATTTGACAGCACATCAAAGTTCCTTACCGGTGTAACGAGTGTAGTAGAGCGAGCAAATTACGATTTTCACTATCTTTTAGGTCATGCAAACTTTGAAGTTTCCTTCGTGCGCTGGCACAGCGGGCACTCTATATGTATGAAATGCATTTGTCTATTCAGTGTGAGCCTCTGTTGAAGTGTCTTTTCTGATCAAGTGGTGTTGCAGGGTATGCAAATGCATTTCGATTCAGTGCCGGTACTTGTTATGGGTGTATTCACAGAGTGATAAAAGCTATATGATATAAAAAAATATGCATTGAATCCATTGGGTGAGAAATACTTTCCTCCATATGATATAGGAAGTTGGAAACCTGAACATTTGATGCATGGATCACAAAGGCAAATATAAAAAAGGATCGTGGTCAAAATCAGTATGAACATGCAACCCATACATGTCTCTCACACCTTCAGGCACAATCTCGCCACGCCCTTTAACACTCAAACTCTGAAGCATCTTGAGCTGGGTGAAATCCTCCGGCAGAGCAGCCAGCTCCTCGCAGCCATCCAGGTTTAGTTTCTTAAGCCGACTCAGCTGTCCAAATTGGCACAACAAAAACGCATCGGGGTGCAGCTAAGGTTCAACTCATGAAGGCAGGAAAGCCGGATGAGAGAAGCAGGGAGTTGGGTAAGTGATGAGCACTTGGCCAAATTCAGCTGACGAAGTCGGGATATCGCCCCGATGCCCTCTGGGAGAGAGGACAGCTTGGGTGCATGCATTTCAACGGATATCAGCGACTGAAGCTCCGTGAAACTCTCTGGTAGCTTTGTTATCTCCTCAGCCCGCGAATCTCCAGCCGCCTCAGCAGCCGCAACGCCGAACCAAATCCTGTCGGAATGTGATATTTGTCTAGCCTGCAGTGGGGATTACTATATGTACTCAACTGCCTGCTAGTGCAAACCCTCTTTTCTGTTCTAAACTTCTGCTTGCTGTTTTTAACATGCTATCAGAGCGGTTACGCTCCTTGCATGTAGGCCCACCTGCTTCCGCTGCTGTCCTGTCTGTCGCGCGCCCCGTGGCGCGCGACGTTGTTACCGTTTCTGCCCGCCGCGCGCTCGGGGCGCGCGGCGGTTTTCTGCCCGCCGTGCGCCCCGAGGCGCGCGTCGGTTTCCTGCCCCGCGCGCCCCCCCCGTCGACCGTCGCGTCGCCCCTGGGGACCCGCGCGCGACCCCCGCGATCCCGTCGCGTCGCCCTGGGGACCCGCGCGCGGCCCCCGCCATCCCGTCACGTCGCCCAGGGGACCCGCGTGCGGCCCCTGCCATCCCGTCGCGCCGCCCTGGGGAACCGCGCGCGCCCGCTGCGCTCCCGTCGCGCTGCCCTAGGGACCTGCGCGCGCCCCCTGTGCTTCCGTCGCGCCGCCCTGGGGACCCGCGCGCGCCCCTCGTGCTCCCGGTGCACCGCCCCGTGCCCCTTTGCGCTGCGAGCCTTCTTCCTCCCCGCGGGTGGCGAGTGTGGGGGTGGCGAGTATGGGGGTGATGGGTGTGTGAGGCCTCCCCTGCTCCTCCTCCTCCTCCTTCGTCTCCCACTGCTGCAGCTGCCGCTGAGGGGGGTGGGTGTGTGGGAGCCGAGGGAGTGGCGCTAGGGGGGTGTCGTGGGAGTGGAGCTAGGGGTGCAGCAAGGGGTGTGTGAAAGGGGTGTGGGACAGTTGGGGAAGGTTGAGAGGAGGTCGCTGTCGTGACGTCAGCAGCGCCAGTAGTCCGGGGCCCTTGCCACTGGTAGCCCAGCGAGCCTGCTGCGCCAGTCGCCTGTGGGTCAGTTGCTCCTGCCGCTCGTCTTAGCCGCGGAGCCAGTTACTCCTGTAGTCCGGGGCCCTTGCTCCGGTAGCCACCGTGCGCGCCGCTCCTGTTGCCCGTGTGTCTGCGTCTTCACCCGTCTGTCAGAATGTGATGTTTGTCTAGCCTGCAGTGGGGTACTCTATAGCGAGTACAGCCCGAATTAGGGTTTGCTATATGTACTCAACTGCCTGCTAGTGAAAACCCCTCTTTCTTGTTTCTGATCTTAGCCTGTTGTTTTAACACCGTCGCCTCCTATCTCCACTCCTCTCACAGTCCCTCCTCCTCCTCACTTACCCTCTGTGACTGCCTCTAGCTTTGCTTGTGATTGTGAACTCATTCTGTGACTGTTTGCTATGCTGATTATACCCCACTTTGACTATGGGGGTGTGTCAGAATGTGATATTTGTCTAGCCTGCAGTGGGGTACTCTATAGCGAGTATAGCCCAAATTAGGGTTTACTATATGTACTCAACTGCCTGCTAGTGCAAACCCTCTTTTCTGTTCTAAACTTCTGCCTGCTGTTTTTGACAAATCCTTCCGGAAGCTTCTTCATACGAGCGGTGCTACAGATGATCAAGCTACGGAGATTAATCAGGAGCTCCAGAGGCAACGGGAATCTCTCTGCCTCTCCAATCAACACCAGGTGTAGGAGGTCCAGAGACGGCAGAGTCAGACCAGAGGCCTGCCCATCTGTAAGCCCTACACCAGTTGAAGAGGCTTAGCAAACTTAGAAATCAAACAAACTTAGAAATCAAACTTAGAAATCAAACTTAGAAATCAAACATAGAAATCTCCCAAATTTCCTACACCAGTTTGCCCTACACCAGACAGCCAATTCTCTGTTAAAGAGGCTTAGGCGAAAACAAGAAATAGGCAAAGAGGAGTTTCACTAGCAAGCAGTTGAGTACATATAGGAAACCCTAATTCGAGTTGTACTCGCTATAGAGTACCCCACAGCAGGCTAGACAAACATCACATTCTGACACACCCCCATAGTCAAAGTGGGGTACAATCAACACAACAAGCAGGCAGAGCAATAGTTCACAATTATAAGCAAAGCTAGAGGCTATCACAGAGGGCACGTGAGGAGGAGGAGAAACTGTAGGGGCGAGAAGATGGGAGGCGACGGCCGAAGCTGCAGACACACGGGCAGCAGGAGTGCGCAGCACTGTCGCTACCAGGCTAAACCCGGACTACACGGCGACAGACGCAGCTGGCTCACTGTGCTCCCAGGAGTGCTCACACTGTAGCTACCGGGCGCAGAGCCCCGGACTACTCAGGCCACAGGGGGTCGTGGCTCTCTGGACTACCAGGAGTGCTCACACCGTGGCTACCGGGCGCAGAGCCCCGGACTACTCAGGCCACAGGGGGTCGTGGCTCCCTGGACTTCAGGCGCTGCGGACGACAAGTCGGCTACCTCCGGTCAACCTCCCCCAACTGTCCCACACCCCGTTCACACACTCCCTGTTGAACCACTAGCACCGCTCACACGCCACCCCCCTCGTACCACTCCGACGGCT